CACAGGAGCCTCGCAATAAAAACATAACACATTCACACCTACACACACATATTCAAACACACACACACACACACACACACACACACACACACACACGTTCCCGCACAAATATTAAAAGGCCCCGGAAAAAAAAAAAACATATTTTCTCTTTCCATTCCTTGATTGTTTCCTTAGGACAGGAAAAAAAAAAAAAAGACGTAAAAACGAAGAATACAAAGAACTGCCAACCAAAAATCCCCCCCCCAAAAAAAACTTTTTTTTTAATTTATTTTTCAATTTCTCTTCTCCACCTTTCTGTTTTTTATTTTTTATAATTCTAGAAACACATCTGTTTCCAAAAAAAAAAAATGGGGTTGTAGGGATTAAAAATCCCTACAACCCCATATATATATATATATATAACTCCGACGAAACAGTTTGTCACAGCCCCTCGTTTGTTGTCCTCTTCTCTCTCTCTGCCTACGGTGTACCGGGCAGTTGTGTTTGTGACGATATATATATATATATATTTACCCATTATTTAATTCATGAAAAATGAGGCAAATTCACGTCCGCGGCGTGGACGAGGTCGGCCGTGGACGTGGCCGTATATACGGCTGCCCTCCGAGGTCGACCTTGCGGACGCGTCCGCGGGTGTTTCGTGGAACATTCGGCACTGGGAGCGCGGGCGGTTCCGAGAAACCGAAGAACATGCGACATCAGACCTTTGAGGCCGTCGCCGAAGTGATGGACAAACATGGAACGCTCATGGCGTGCACCGTGGACAGCGCTAGCAAGCGGCAGTGCTCGATGATGTTTTGGCAGTGCGAATCTTTGAGAGCAAAGTGGAAGTGCAGAGGAGAGATTATGTTGCAGGCGAATGAGGCGAACAAGATGATGTGCAACGCCCTTTTGGACATGGCGAAAGTCATCTGCGAGAGATCATAACGTCGTTGTTGCCTGTTCGTCGATTGCCCATTCCGGGTCCGGAGCCACGCACTGTGGTTGCTGTCCCTTCCTTCCGACGACGAAAGCTTTGTTGTCCTGTCTTTCCGTCCACTGTCACTGCGACGTTGTCAACAATGTGTTTCCTTAGATAATTCCTCGCCGGCACGTTAGTGCACGTCGATTAGCAAGAGGGATGTCAGTTGTCTGAAAATCGTTGCCGTGAAATTAGTGTCCAATATTTGTTTTTTGTTTTTTTTTGTCTTTCGTATTCCTTCGCCGGTGGGCTGGTGGGGTGCTTCGTTGATGTTTTGCGAGCTGCAAATTGACAGAGCCATGAGTAAAGATTGAGTTTTTCAATGATTCTGAAGGGGAACTTCAAATTGATT